CAAACGCTACTCGAGTTTATAACCGAACGTATATATGGTTGTAGGTGTTGGACTTATGGATATTGTAGGGAGACGAGGCCCACAACCTAGAAAAAGATTCAAAAGAAATTACAGCTTATGTCTAAAGCCCATGCCACCACAACCCACCTCGAAATCCTGGCTTGCTAGCTAGCTACTTGTGTGGTTAGTGGAACATTGCTCACCAGCGGTTGTGCCCAATCAATTTCAGTGGTTCAAATGGTTTGAAAGAGAGCTGCAAATTACCATTGACAATCGGTGCACGGTTTGATTATATTGTAATTTGTAACCAGTTTTTAATATAGCATTTTTTATGTGATGAATTATATTGTAAATCATTTTTAATGGAGTACTTTTAATGTGATTAATAATGTGGTCCATCATTTATAGTGTGGAATCACTCCGTTCGTAAATTAGATATTTATGATTAAATTATTAATAAGTTTCCGATGAGATTAGTAATGTGTCCATTTTGTATGAAGATGAATAATAGTGCACTTTAGTTGGTCACAGAATAGAGGCAAATATTTGAGGTGGGGCCGAAGAAGACTACTTGGTGAGGAAGTTCATGAAGACTACTTCGGGAGAAAGTTTTAAAAGCCTATTGGACATATCACCATTCCTCCAATCACAGCAACCCAGCAATGACAATGCAAATTACAGTGGAATCTGGAAAAGGTTAGGAAGTGGAAAGCACTTTTCCATAGTCAATGTTTGTTTTGTAGTTTCATGCTTTTCCACAATTTTGCCTGCTTTGGTTGTTTAGCAAAATTTACCTTATGCACTACCGTCTGCTTTGTTTACTGAGAGCAGACAGAAGCCTGTAAATTTCCTTGATGTTAACTATTGAGTGAACATGAAGTGTATGTGAGCCCTGTGTATTTCAGTTAAATAAATTTGGTTTACATATGTCAGCCATTTTTAATCTCTTTCAACATTTAGAAGGTTAAGATTTTCTTTTAAGAAGTTCTTCTTTATTGTCCATAGGGCATTTTGTCATCAATCTGACATTCATATAAGCAAAAAAGAAACGCAAAAGAATGTTACGCTAAAAAAACTAGAGTTTAACTTGAGTTTAAATTGACGCAGGGGCTGATGGTGTAAGAATTCGTAACTTTATTTTTGCCAATTTTAAAAAAATATGGACCAATCTATTATATACTCTAAACCACATGAGTGGAAAATGTAATTACGTCTTAAATTTATTCGTTAAATATTGTCTACATGTAGCAATGTGTCATCTCTTTAAATTTGACATCACTTTAGCAATGTGTAAGGATCCGCCTAGTAATACTATTCTTATTTTGTTTCTATTTTAATGTGGAAGTGGAATTCAATGTAGGAACTTACTCAAAGAACAGAAAGATTTTTGTGACTTGAGGGAGATTTGATGAAAACAACATTTAAAAAAGAAAAAGAAAAAAGCGTGACATGTCAGCAAAACTTGTTTGGGAAGTTCAGGACTTAATTCCTTGGACGGATTGGGGTGAGTTTTGCCTATAAAATACAACTTCACTCTGCTGATGCCATTGCAGCTTCTTCTTGCTTGTTATATCCACAGAGAGAGAGAGAGAGAGAGAGAGAGAGAGAGAGAGAGAGAGATGGACTGCGGCTTCAGATTCTGTCCCACTGAAGAGGAACTGGTGAACCACTACTTGAGGAAGAAGAAACAGGACAAAGATTTTAAAGTTGACCACATCATCCCTGAGATTGATATCTGCAAGTACGAGCCTTGGGATTTACCTGGTAATACATGATTGTTTGCATATCAATCTCAGCCTTGGGATTTTTCTTGTTTCAAATTTAGATATTTTGTTTTGTGTTGCATTTGCAATGCAGGGCTGTTCACAGAGCCAGAGTCGCCATATCAGGATATGTTCTTCTTCAGCCCAAGGGATTACAAGTACATCAACAACAGAGCTCGCACCAACAGGGTCACTGGGCGAGGCTTCTGGAAAATCACAGGCAAAGAACGTGTGATCAAGGGTGCTCGAGGGTCCATTGGGAGAAAGAAGACCTTGATCTTCTATGAAGGTCGTGTGACTCAATGTAACAGGACCAACTGGGTCATGCACGAGTATTATCTCTGTGAAGACGAAGCCATTCCAAATCCTAAGCTGGCCCAGCAGGTCATTCTCTTTCGTCCATGCTTGAGCATCAAGTTTTGTCTGTTGGCTTAATGTTTCATGAACTAATGCTTTTGATGTGTGTGTAGTCACTGATCTTATAAGAAATGCAATTGCTTATCATTCTGATATGGGGTCTTCAACTTATGCAGAGGGATTTTGTTCTGTGTCGCTTGAGGAAAAATGCAGTTAAGAACGTAACTTCAATATGTGCTGTAGCTGAACCTGCATATGCTGAATGGCTTGGGATTTCGGAGGAGGTGAGATAGCTTGCTCTGATACCAGGAAGGAAGGAAGTTGAGATTCCACCCCATAATCAATTGGCAACGAGAGGAATAGACAAACTCCCCTCAATACGTGTTATTGATTTTGGAGTGAAACCTCAACTTCCTTCAATACAAACGTCTGATTATGGGTATACCCAAACTTGACCGCTCGCTTGTTTATGATTCTTAATACAGGAATGTCCTCAGCCAGAAGAACTGGAATTAGTCTTTCCTGCACTTCAGCTACAGGATAACATCTCGGAGGAGATGGAGTTTGAGATTTTTAGCAAGAAATGACCTGCTGCTGGAGCTTACTATATGTATTAGTATTAAATCTATCTCTGCCATTTTATTTTAAATTGTACCCTTGTGTTGTGAGTATTGTATTATACTGTATTTGGTATTTCCATAATTAGTATTTTAATTCTTAATCTCACTAATTTGACATTTAGTTTATTGCTTCAACAATGGTAATGGTCATGCCCCCATGCTCACCCATGCTGTGTATACAGGGTTGGTGCCCTGCACTTTAAATTAAGTTAGGAAAGATTTCTTAGAAATAACCATGGTGGCGGTTGAGAAAATCACACTAATTTTGTCACATGAAGCTCAATTTGCTTGGTGCAAAATTTTACATGACCTCCCATCTAATTCCAAATGTCATTTTCCCTGTAATAAAAGGGAATAATGTGCAAAATTCGGTCATCTTTATTTGTTTTGAATTAATGTAGAGGATTGCGTGTTTGTATGTATATGTACTCTCCCAAGGCCAAAACAACAAAATACTCTTTCAATTATTTTCTCAAATGAATAAAATAATTTCATTTTTTTTTTTTTGTCTGAGTAAATCTTTTCATTATGTTTGACTAGCCCCTTGACACATGCTCACGTATGTGCCAATTGGTTTATTTATTTATTTTATTTTTAGAATTAAGAAAAGATAACATGAGTAGTTATGTTCCATAAAAGTAGGATATATTATCTGATTTTGTTTTTAATTTTAATTTTTTTAATATGAAAAAATGTGAATTTACCATATTATCCTCATTTAATTAATAATTTCAATTGTTAATGTTTGAATTAACCAAGGGTATTTTCTTGTATTTTGAATGTTTCACCATTCTCTGCTTTTTTCTTTATATATATATAGATTAATAGTTGTGGAAAAATATGTTTCCTTTTTTACTAATGTTTGTTTTTTTTTCTTTTTTTTTCCGCGGGGGGGGGGGGGGGTGTCGAATACTTGTTTCTTTTTTTTTCTTTTTTTCCGGGTCTAATGTTCCTTTTTACTCAGAGGTTGTGCTAAGGCTTCATAGACACGGTTTGATTATACCGTAAACCATCTTTAATTAATAGAGTCGTTCTTATGTGAACAATAATGTGGTCCATAATTTATGGTGCAGAATTGCCCATGTATGAATTACACATTTGCATTGAAATTCATTATAAGATTTCGATGTGATCAGTCCATATCTTTATCAAAAGTTAGATAATCTGATTTACTAGAAGAGGTACAATGGCAATTGGCAAGTGGGGAGCATGTAACAGAAAAAAGAAAGAAAATTTGAATGATGGTACTTTTGGTGCAGAGAACGGAGGCAAATATTTGAGGTGGGGTCGAAGAATACTTGGTGAACAAGTTCATGAAAGACTAGTTGGGGGCAAAGTTTCATAAGCCTAAACACCAATGCCAATGCAAATTAAAAGGGAATCTGGAAAAGGTGAGGAAATGGAAAGGAGTTTTCCATAGTCAATGTTTGCTTTGTAGTTTCATGCTTTTGCACATTTTTGCCTGCTTTAATTGGTTAGAAAATTTTACTTTATGCACTACTCTCTGCTTTGTTTATTGAGAGTACAGAGAAGCCTGTAAATTTCCTTGATGTTAATTATTGAGTGAACATGAAGTGTATCCAAGCCTGTGTATTTGTCTTTAGAAGAATCTAGATAAAGGTTTATGAGTGAACCTTGAAAATCCCATTTGTAGTTCATGTGAAAAAAAAAAAAAACAAGTGTTGCGCCAAAAAAATTAAAGTTAACTTGACGTTTTAACTGGAGGGGCCGATAGTGTGTAAGGATTCATAACTTTAGTTTTGCCAATTTTTAGAAGATATGGAACAATTTATTACATACTCTAAACCACATGGGTGTTACATACCCTAAATCATATGGGTGTTAAAATGTAATTAGACCTTAAATTTATTCATCAAACATTGTCTACATGTCGCAATATGTGTCATCTATTTAAATTTGACATCACTTTGGCGACGCAATTTTTGTTAGCCTGGTAAAAACTATTCATATTTTGATGTGGAATTCAGTGTCCGTAGGAAAAGGACCTCTAACTTACTAATAAAGGACCAGAGAATATTTTTGTGACTTGATCGAGGAAGATTCCAAAATGTAAGGTATTCTAACAAGCTAACTCCAAGAGGGGTTGATGAAAAACAACATTTAAAAAAAGAAATAGAAAAAACGCGTGGCGTGTCAGCGAAACTTGTTTCCCTTAGGAGAGTTCGTCTATAAAATACTTCACACTGTTGATGCGATTGCAGCTTCTTCATGCTTGTTAGAGAGAGAGAGAGAGAGAGAGATGGACAGCAACTACAGATTCCTTCCCACTGAAGAAGAATTGGTGAGCTACTTGAGGGAGAAGAAACAGGTTGACCACATCATCCCTGGGATTAATATCTGCAACCACGAGCCTTGGGAAGTACCTGGTAATCCATTAATACTGTATATGATTGTTATGTATATACAATCTTGTTATGTTGTTAATTAAACCCCAAAAAAAATAAAAAATAAAAAAGTTCTTGTTGTGTTTTTAGTATTTGGTACTTGAAGACTTGAATTGGGTTGGTTTCAAATTTGGATATTTTGTTTTGTGTTGCATTTGCAATGCAGCGCTGTATGAAGGGCTTTTCACAGAGCCAGACTCGCCATATCAGGGTATGTTCTTCTTCAGCCCAAGGGATTACAAGTACAGCGACAACAACTATGCTCGCACTAACAGCGCCACTGCCCGAGGCTTCTGGAAAACCACAGGCAAAGAACGTGTGATCAAGGCTGGAGGGTCCATTGTGAGAAAGAGGACCTTCTTCTATGAAGGTCGTGTGCCTCCATATAACAAGAACAACTGGGTCATGCATGAATATTGTCTCATTGAAGATGAGGCCAACCCTACACCTAAGCTGGCCCAGCAGGTGCAGGTCATTCTCTTTCATCCATGATTGTTATATATTTTGTGCTGTGTTTGGATTGTGCAGCATCAAGTTTTGTCCATTGGCTTAGTGTGTTTTCAAGAACTAATGCTTTTGATGTGTGTGTGATCACTGATCTTATAAGAATTGCAAATGCTTATGATTTTGATAAGGGGTCTTCAACTTATGCAGAGGGATTTTGTTCTGTGTTGCTTGAAGAAAAAACAAGATAAGAAGGATACTTCAATCTTTGCTCAACCTGATGAATGGCCCTTGATTTCTGAGGTGAGATAAAGAAGTTGAGGTTTCAACCCATAACCAATTGGCCGTGGGAAGTGTAATTGGTTTTAGAGTGGAACCTCAACTTTTGATTATGGGTATATCCAAACTTAACCCATCGCTTGTTTATGATTCTTAATACAGGAATATCCTCAGCCAGAAGAACCGGAATGAATCTTTCCTGCACTGAAGCTACAGGATTACACACTGCATGGGACCTGCTGGAGTCTTGCTATATGTATAGTATTAAACCTATCTCTGTCACCTTCAAGTCTCAGTAATATTTATTAGTATCAAACCTATATTTTTCTTTTCATTTGTATCCTTGTGACTATTGTATTGTATTGTATTGTATTGGTATTTCCATATTTAGTATTTTGATTCTTAATCTCGCTAAGTTGAAGATATCAAATCACACGTGAAAAAAGAAAAGAAAAGGATATTTTATTGCTTCAACAATGGTGATGGTCATGCCCTTCATGCTCCCTCATGCTGGGTAGGGTTGGTGCCTTGCTCTTTGACAGCTAGAGGCTCATACCAACGAGGCCCAAACCCCGGAGCTTTCCTCGCCTCTTCATTGAAAGGAGGCTTCAAAGCCCCCCTTGAAAATACGACCTCACAAGTGCATGAAACTTTTTAATCACTTCATCTTCTTCATCATCAGACACCAGCCTCATGCAAAGATACTAACCACTTCACTCCAGCAGCACAGTGGATTATTTCTTCAGGGTAGACCACGCAGTCTAGCATATCAGCTGTTGTGTCATCACCTCCGTTTCGGAACCGGGAGATGTTTGTTGGCAGCACATCGAAGCCTCTTGCCTCATGCACGCAATGCTCGACGGCCAGGGTGCGGTTAGGTCTTTGGAAGTGGCAGCAGCAGAGGCCCATAGGCCATCGTGAGCAGGCAATGCTCCATAGAAAGAACCCATCTCCTCAAGCCGAGCTGCGACGAGAGTGAAGTGACGGCCTTCGTCCTGAGACACCTTTACGAAATCCGTGAAGAACTCTTTTGGCATCGCCTCTTGCTTGCCAAACCTAGCAATTATGCCCTACAAAAATCAATACGAATATACTATTAATACAACCATGAACAAGATCAATTCAGATTTTTAAAAACTAAAGACAACTGATTTAAATAATTGAATTACCACTAGCATTTGAGTCCCGCTGCCAGCAGTTTCGTGTTTGGTGGGTAACCTGTAAATTCCTCTGTAAACACGAAAAGATCTGGAGTTTGCCATGGCCTCGGATGTGGGGTAGCCTTTCCCTCCCCTAAACTTTCTAACACACACACACATATATAAAGGGTTTTGCATGATTTCCCATCTAATTCCAAATGATAATTTACAAACATGGCACAGAAAAAGATCACTACGATTTTTCAAGAATAAATTTCCTTTTTAATGTGCAGAATTTTGTATTTTTATTTTGAAATTCATGTAAGTATTTCGGGTTTGTATGTATATATGTACTCTCTTCCAAGGCCAAAACAACAAAATACTCTCCCAATTATTTCTCAAATGAACAAATCATTTCATTATGTTTGTCTAATAGTTGCGGAAAATGAGTTTCCTTTTTACTAATGTTCGGATTCAGTCTCTCTCTTTTTTTTTTCTTTTTTTTTCGTTTTTGTTTTTTGAGTCGAATACTTGTTTCATTGCAAGACAAAAGAGATCGTGCTCAGGCTTCATAGACACAGTTGTAAACCGTCTTGATAGAGTTGTTCCGATGTGAACAATAATATGATCCATAATTTATATATGGTGTAGAATCGCCCATGTATGACTTACACATTTGCATTGAAATTCATTACAAGTTTTCGATGTGATCAGTCCTTATCTTTATCAAAATTTAGATAATCTGATTTACTAGAAGAGGTACAATGGCAATTGGCAAGTGGGGAGCATGTAACAGAAAGAAGAAGAAAAAAAAATGTGAATGATGGTACTTTTGGTGCAGAGAATGGAGGCAAATATTTGAGGTGGGGTCGAAAAAGACTACTTGGTGAACAAGTTCATGAAAGACTAGTTGGGGGGAAAGTTTCAAAAGCCTATTGGATATATCACCATTTCTCCAATCACAAACTCTAAAATATTTTTTTTATATATAAATACAGAGAAGAATAAAATCAAAACCATTATCACTTGGCAGTGCCAAGATTGTTAAATCTCTTTTTTATGTCTTTTTCGCTAAAGTTGCACTAAAAATTCTAAAGTTAATATGACGTTGAAACTGAACTGAGAGGCTGATGGTGTAAGAATTCGTAACGAACCACATGGTTGTTAAAATGTATGTAATTACCCCTTAAATTTATTTGTCAAATATTGTCTACATGTAGCAATGTGTCATCTATTTATTCAAATTTGACATCACTCTGGTGACACAATTTTTGTTAGCCTAGTAAAACTCTTCGTATTTTGTTTATATTTTGACGTAGAAGCGGAATTCAATGTAGGAAAAGGACCTCTTAACTTACTCAAAGAACAGAAAAGACTTTTATGACTTGAGGGAGATTCCAAAATGTAAATAATCTAACCTCCAAGAGGGGTTGATGAAAAACAACAATTAAAAAAGAAAGGAAGAAAAAAGAAACTCGTAGGTTGAGTTTCTCTATAAAATACAACTTTACTCTACTGATGCCATTGCTGCTTCTTCTTGCTTGTGTGAGAGAGAGAGAGAGATGGACAGCTACTTCAGATTCCTTCCCTCTGAAGAGGAACTGGTGAGCCACTACTTGAGGGAGAAAAAACAGGTTGACCACATCATCCCTGAGATTGATCTCTGCAAGCACGAGCCTTGGGATGTTCCTGGTAATCCATTATTCTATCTCTCCTAATTTCTTACTTATCTACACATTTCTCATTAATACTACATGATTGTTATGTATATACAATCTTGATCTGTTGTTAATAAAAAATGCATGGAAAAAATAAAAATAAATGTTGTGTTTTTAGTAAACTTGAATTGGGTTGGTTTCAAATTCGGATATTTTGTTTTGTGTTGCATATGCAGGGCTGTATGCAGGGCTGTTCACAGAGCCAGAGTCGCCATATCAGGATATGTTCTTCTTCAGCCCAAGGGTTTACAAGTACAACAACAGCGCTCGCATCGAAAGGACCACTGCGCTAGGCTTCTGGAAAATCACAGGCAAAGAACGTGTGATCAAGGCTCGAGGGTCCACCGGGAAGAAGAAGACCTTGACCTTCTATGAAGGCCGTGTGCGTCAATCGAAGAAGACCAACTGGGTCATGTACGAGTACTATCTTGTTGAAGATGAAGCCAACCCTAATCCTAAGCTGGCCCAGCAGGTCATTCTCTTTCATCCATGCTTGTTTATTTGCAAAGTTTGTTATATATATTTTTTGCTGTGTTTGGATTGTGCAGCATCAAGTTTTGTCCATTGGCTTAGTGTGTGTTCATGAACTAATGCTTTTAATGTGTGTGTGATCTTATAAGAAATGCAATTGCTGGTAGTCAATGGCTTAATGTAGGTAGGTACTTATGATTTTGATATAGGTTATGCAGAGGGATTTTGTTCTGTGTCGCTTGAAGAAAAAGGCAGATGATCATACTTCAATCTATGCTGAAGCTGAACCTGCATATGATAAATGACAAAGGATTTCAGAGGTGAGATAGCTTGCTTTGATACCATGAAGGAAGTTGAGGTTCCACCCCATAACCAATTAGCAATAGGAGGACTAGTCCAACTCCTCTCAATACCCGTAATTGGTTTTGGAGTTTGAGGTAGGACCTCAACTTCCTTAAATATTGAACTTCTTATTATGGGGTATATCCAAACTTCTTATTATGGGGTATATCCAAACTCACCGGCTTGCGTGTTTATGATTCTTAATACAGGAATTTCCTCGGCCAGAAGAACTAGAATTTATCTTTCCTGCACTTCAGCTACAGGATTACATGCTGCAGATGGACACAGAAGTGGGAGATGTTTAGCAATGAAAATAACTATATTACTTGTATGAGTGCTCCTGCTGCTACATGACCTTCTGGAGTCTCATGTATATGTATTAGTATTAAACCTATCTGTGTCACCTTCAGTCTGAAAAACACTCTACCCTCTACAACCGAATAGCATATGTATTGGATCCATTTTTCTTTTCAATTGTATTAGTATTTTAATTCTTAATCTCGCTAATTTGAAGATATCGAACCACACGTGAAAAAATAAAAGAAAAGGATATTTTATTGCTTCAACAATGATGATGGTCATGTCCTTCATGCTCCCTCATGCTTGGTAGGGTTGGTGCCCTACTCTTTGACAGCAAGAGGCTCATACCAGCGAGGCCCAAACCCAGCAGCTTTCCTCGCCTCTTCATTGAAAGGAGGCTTCAAAGGTCCCCTGAAATACGTCCTCACAATGGCATGAAACTTTTTAATCACTTCATCTTCTTCCTCATCAGACACCAGCCTCATGCAAAGATACTTGAACCACTTCACTCCAGCAGCACAGTGGGTTATTTCTTCAGGGTAAACCACGCTCTCTAGCAAATCAGCTGTCGTGTCGTCGCCTCCTTTTCGGAACCGGGAGATGGTTGTTGGCAGCACATCCAACCCTCTTGCCTCATGCACGCAATGCTCGACAGCCAGGCGTGCGGTTAGGTCTTTGGAAGTGGCAGCGGCAGAGGCCCAGAGGCCGTCATGAGCCGGCAATGCTCCATAGAAAGAACCCATCTCCTCAAGCCGAGTTGCCAGGAGAGTGAAGTGACGCCCTTCGTCCTGAGCCACCTTTACGAAATCCGTGAAGAACTCACTCGGCATTGCCTCTTGCTTCCCAAACCTAGCAATTATGTCCTACAACAATCAATACGAATATACTATTAATATAACCATGAACAAGACCAATTCAGATTTTCAAAAACTAAAGGCAATTGATTTAAATAATCAAAATTCAACTTAAAAATTGAATAAAATAACTTAGAATTGACATGATTGAAATACCAAACAACAATATGAGACAGAAAGCTACTTTGCATAGTTTTTCTCCAATGCAGGATGAGTAATGCGAGATTGTTACAGGATGCGTGCTCATTGATATGTAACGTGCCCGTGGCGATCAATTGGCACTCACATTACGCAACTTTCATCCTGCATTGGGGAAACCTCCCGTGTTGAAATACTCCGCTACGTTCCCTAATCAGG